GGAGCAACAGGACCAAGTGACTGGGCCTTTCACTCACAGTTGGAGTATTTTGGTAGGAGTGGTAGTGAGTATACAGTAATAGCTTTTGATCCAAGAGGATATGGACACTCTAAACTAGCACCAAGGACCTTCTCAATTACACCAGAACATCATACAAAGATTGATGCAAGAGATGCACACCAAGTAATGGAGTCATTGGGGTATGACAAGTACTTTGTTCTTGGTTGGTGTGATGGAGGTATCTCTGCTATTTATCTTGCTGCTCTCTTTCCTGATGCTGTTAAAGGACTTGTTGTATGGGGATCCAGAGTGCGTTATACTGAATATGAGGTAGAAATAGCAGAAGGTTGTAGAGATGTGATGACATGGATTCCAGAATTTAGGATAATTCATGAAGACGTGTACGGAGGCAGAAATGCTCATCAGGCCATTTGGAACAAATTCACTGATTCTATTTGTGCTATGTATGAACATTTAAAGGATAAGAATGGTGAACTCTGCACTGAAGAAATGAAGCAAGTGAGCTGTCCAACACTAGTCCTTCATGGTGCTAGGGATAAAATGGCTACCTTGTCTCAAGCTCAGCTAGTCAAAGAGACTATTCCTAATAGTAAACTGATTGTGTTTGATCAAGGAGCTCATTTTATACATATGAAACTGTCAGAACACTTCAATCTTACTGTTGAGAGTTTCTTTAATGATTTCATTTGTTAACATGATACTTTAATTTGTTGTTTATTGGCATCACATTATGCTATTACGTTTATTAAACTGAAACAAAATCATTATTTGTAACTTTATGAACGCTGCGAATTGATATTAGCATTGTACTTGCTATTATAATATTTATTATTGTTATTGTTATTATTATTAATTAATAAGCATTATTTATTTTTAATTAGTTATGAAGATGATTATCCGGTGATATTGTCAGCCAATAACATCAGACCAAGAGCAAGGTCACGCATGCAATGGGACCAACTCTCAGTTGGTCAGATTGTAATGGTCAATTACAATCCTGACCATCCTACTCAAAGAGGCTATTGGTATGATGCTGAAATTACTCGTAAGGTGAGTGGGCGGCTTAATGGGTGTGGTTTTTACTTGTATATGTGTGTGTGGCATGTGACGATGTGAATGTTGTAATTAACTAAAGGATATTTAACCCTTTGCTCTGTGTAATTTTACTTGTTTTAATTTTGTAGGTTTGTGATACTAAGAAGTTATACGTAAAGCTTTGTCTTGGGTAAGAGCATACTCCATATATTGATGTATAGTAAAAATAAATATATGGGCTTTGTATGACATTGCTATTGTTTGTCGATATACCATCATTGTACATCTTACTGTAGCTATACATTTATAATGTGTTTGTGTGTTATTTTAGTGTTGAGTCTGATGTGCAGCAAGAGTGTAGGATAAAGTTTATCGATGAAATATTTTCAATTGAGAGAAAAGAATCGCCCAATGAGCTGACAGGAGAAGGTGAAGCAAGAATGAAGAAACCTGATTGTGACTACTGCAAGGTATTGGAATCCTCTCTCTCTCAGACTCTCTGTACCTCTTTGTTTTTCTTCTCTTTTATCTTTTATTTCTTTTCTCTGTCACAGGATAATCCTTCTAGAAAGTGTCACCACTGTGCTTGCTCGGTCTGTGGTGGTAAGAATGACCCCGAGAAGCAGCTCCTTTGCGACGAGTGTGACAATGCTTTTCACCTTTCGTGCCTTGACCCACCTCTCGATGAAATACCAGAATCCGATGAATGGTAAGCTCATTAGTGAATCAGCAATGGATTATTATTACATAAGCAATAGCCCATAATATGTATATGCAGGATTGAGTTGATTTTACTTAGACCTGTTTCTTGTTTATTTATTTTAGGTATTGCTCTGAATGTAAGACAGATACATCAGAGGTGATTGGGGCTGGAGAGAAGATGAGACTCACCAAGAAAAAGGCAAATATGATTTCAAAGAAAGGCAACACCACGAGAGACTGGGGAAAAGCAAGTTTTTTTGGATTATGTCGTGACAGGTTCATGTTTATTGTTAGGGGATGGCTTGTGTTGGACGTACTAAAGTGTGCACTATTGTTCCATCTAATCATTTTGGGCCCATACCTGGTATACCTGTCGGAACTTTATGGAAATTTAGAGTTCAAGTAAGAGCAGTAACACTTACATCTATTTAGCTAGCGGGTTATAATTTTTTCACATATTTTTATTAATATTATGTAAGACGTTTAAGCTAATATGATCAAAATTGAATTTTTGACTTGGCCAATTACCCTGTATTATAATAGTATAGGCAAATTTCACAAAAAATTGGCCCAGAGAAAATTCTTAATTATTATAATATTTTCTGATACATATACATGTTCTTATGCTGTGTAGCAAGTTTGAGCTGACTCCGATCACAATTGGATTTTTTACGAGTTTTTGAAGTTACTCAAAAATCGGGCCAAAGTCCCTGTACTATAAGTACAGGGACTTTGGCCAAATTTTGCCAAAAATGGCAAAGAGAGAACTCTTCATTTTTATAATTGTTTCTGATACATATACATGTTCTTATGTTGTGTAGCAAGTTTAAGCTGATTCCAAGTAAAATTTGATTTTTTACGAATTTTTTAAAGTTACTCCAAAATCGGACCAAAGTCCCTGTACTATAGTACAGGGACTTTGGCCAAACTTTGCCAAAAATGACTAGGAGAGAATTCTTCAATTTTATAATTGTTTCTGATACATATACATGTTTTTATGTTGTGTAGGAAGTTTAAGCTGATTCCGATGATAATTTGATTTTTTTATGAATTTTTAAAGTTACTCAAAAACTGGGCCAAAGTCCCTGTACTATAGTACAGGGTATTATATCAAAAATGGCTGGGAGAGGACTCTTAATTTTTTAATGCATATGAATGTTTTTATGGGGAATCTTTGAGCTGATTTTGAATAAAAGTGGCCTTTTTATAAATTTGTCAAAGTCATGTTATGTACTGTAATATGTATTGCCATTGCTAGGTAAGTGAGTCTGGTGTTCATCGTCCTCATATTGCTGGAATTCACGGGAGAGAAAGTGAAGGATCCTATTCCATAGTCCTCTCAGGAGGCTATGATGATGATAAGGTGATGTCAACTGATGTCGTCAGTGATGTCATACTCTCTCAATAGGACGATGGTGACGAGTTTGTCTATAGCGGCAGTGGTGGGCGGGATCTCTCTGGTAACAAGAGGACAGCCAAACAATCAATGGATCAAAAACTAACTGCTATGAACAGGTATAATAATATTATAATTTTATCATAATTATGTAATATTTTCTCCTGCATTTCTTTCTACACAGGGCCCTTGCTAAAAACTGCAATGCTCCCATTAATGATAAAACTGGAGCCGAAGCAAAAGACTGGAAGAAAGGGAAACCAGTGCGAGTCGTAAGCAAGTCACCTAGCAACAGACCACGCCCATTGCCGATATTTTGTGTAGGTTCGTAATCACAAAGGTCGTAAGACCTCCCAGTACTGCCCCAAAGAAGGCAATAGATATGACGGAATTTATAAAGTAAATTATATATGGAGTTGAACATTTTAATCCTCTTTTCTTTCAGATTGTCAAGTACTGGCCCCAACGTAATGACGAAAACTTTCTCGTTTGGAAATATTTACTAAGACGCGATGACCCGGTATGTAATTTCGCTTTTTTTTTGTTTCTATTGTCTTTTATGTTTATTAGTCGCCTGCTCCATGGACAAGCGAAGGAAAGAAAAATGCAAAGAAACTAGGCCTCACCCTCCAAGTAATGAATGATTAGTATAATATGTACGAGTGATACGTGTATGTGTCATCAATGTTAGTATCCTGAGGGGTATCTTGAGTCTCGGGCTAGCGGAAGTGGATCACAAGAGCAATCATCAGAGGATGAGAGGAGCACGCCTAGTAAGAGAGGCAGGAAGAGAAAATCTGATGGTGAGCACAATAGCATTCCTGTAGCTGCTGTATTCCTTGCTTAAATGGGAGATTGTTTTGTGTGCTGATTGCTATATTTTTGAGTCTTTTAAGTACAGGATTAAGACTGGTTTACAAAATTACGCTAGTCCTGACGTTACGTTGATGCTGGAATAGAATCTGGTTCTATTCTAGCAGAAAGCATGCATCAAAAATTCAAAAGGTCAATTGCCCACGCATTTGATTAAAAATTGGTGGTACGCTGGCCTAACGTCATATTGTAAACCAGCCTTTACTCTCAGACAATCCTTATACTGTATGTACATATACTGGCTAATGTTCTGTTGTTATGCTGTCTGTAGTCCCTCTCTCCTGTCTTCCAGGTAAAGGAAGCTCTTCCCCAGCAGAGAAACTCAAGCAACCACGCTACGACTTAAACCAGACTCAGAAAAAACTTATAAAACGCGACACTGCCAATTCTAAACTGTGGAAAGAGATTGTGGATTCAACCGGATCTGTATGTGATGGAGTAAATCCTTACCACTTACCATAGTTTTGCTATAGGCTGGCCTATTAGAAAAAATTCAAGATTCATTTACATGCATAGTGTGTCAAGAGCTGGTCTATAAACCTGTCACTACTCCCTGTGGACATAACATATGCAAAGTGAATCAGACACTATATTTCTTTCTCCCTCTTTATTTTCACTTTCAAATATGTCTCTTTTTCTTTTTCTGCCCTCCTTCCAGACTTGTTTACAACGTTCATTTAAAGCTCAGGTGTTCACTTGTCCTTCGTGTCGTCATCAGTTAGGAGGCCAGTACGAATTGGAGACTAATGATGATCTCCAGTCTGTCCTCCTTGAGATATTCCCTGGATATGATGGAGGAAGATGATGATCAAATAGTCAGAGATCGATGGTTTCAGACTTTCTCCCCATGCGTGCATGCATTCTTTATTATTAATTAATATTATAGTTCTTTTCATTTTCAAAAATAAATGTACTGTCTTATTGTTGTACTACATCTTTTCTCGAGTTGCTGCATCATCTTATTTTTGTTTGGTCCAACCCACTGTCTGAGTTAGCATTTTCTTAATGGAAAGAGATATAACCCTGTGGACAACAAAGGTTGCGATCTAAAGGCTCTTTTGAGGAAGGTAACAGCAAAATTTGTCATCATTAGTGTAGACTACTGGACTTGGACCGAGTTTATCAAAGTATCATAAAAATTGGCAGTAGATTTGAACCTCGAATTGATTCTCAACTTTACTTTCAACTCCTTGAACCTGCTTTGATAGTGTCATTAGTGAGGTAAGATATAAAAATAATAGATCTAATAATTATTTTTGTACTAGATATGACTTACCAGTATCAGCGCCTGAATGAAGACGAAGGATTTCACAAGGCACTTGTGGTTTGTGGAAATTTTGAAGAGACTCTACGAGAAGCAATATACTGTCGTAAGGTTATCATCAAACACTTAGAAGACTTAAAAAAAGAAGTTGAAGAAAGCTACGATAAACATAAAAAGGCAACAATAGGAGGAACAGTTGCTACAATAACTGGATCTACACTTGGTATTGTGGGGTTTGCTGCTGGTTTCGTTACTTTTGGTCTTGGTTTCGGTTTAGCTGTTGCTGGTGGTGCGATTGCAGCTGGAGGAGGTTTAACATTGGCTGGCTCTCAAATCGGTTACCATATTGTCTCCAGCACTACTTACAAGAATGCACAGAAAGCCTGCGAGAGAGATAGAGAGCAAGCAGCTAACATTGAGAAGTATGGCGATGAGCTAGACAGCCACCTCGAAGCACTGGCTAACAAGTATAAAATGTCCAAAGAAAATATCTTTGAGCAACTGATGAGTAAAGGGAAGCTTGCAACAAATGTTTTGAAATATACCTACAGTGCTGGTCGAGGCTTTGATGTAGCAGGAGATGTCGCTAGGCTTGTCAAAGCTGGTGCATCAGGGGCTCGAACCACTTTTACTGGGTTATCAACTGCAGCCAAGGCATTTCGTATTGGAGGTGTTGTAATGGACGTTATATTCATTCCTATTGATATTGGCGTGATGGCTAAGGCTGCTTATGATGTTCACCAGTACAGGACCACTGGAGAGTCCAACTCTGATATTGCTGAGAGGATAGGAGCAATGATTAAAATGCTAAGTGAAAATTTACAACAAATGAAGTCTTTCTTGAATGTGCTTGAAACAACCCATTAGATAGGCACAGTGCATCATATTTAAAGTGAAAGTCACCAAAGGAAGCGTATGTTTTGTCTGTCTTGTCTACATTCCATTGTATATGTAGATAAATTTTACACATACCAGTACACATTTTTTTCAAAGAAAGTATCATTTTAAAGATGTTAAGAAATGAAGATTAAATATTAGTTCTTGCATGCGCACAAACATACACTCAAACACATGTTGACTGTTAAAATTAATACACTTTTTTGAAATTCCTCTCGTGCAACTTTTCCAGGATAGTATATGACAGTCCCAGTATTATTATACTGACAAGCACTACAATAGACATGGATATGGTTTTTGGAGCAACTAGAAAAGTTCATAAAAATTAATTTTGATTTAAATCAGCTTAAACTTGCTACACAGCATAAGAACATGTACATGCATAAAAAATATTATAAACTTCTTTTCTAGTAGTATTGGCCAAATGTAAACTAAGGCCATACTTTGGCTAGTTTGGACACTAGACTTGGGCATAGAGAAACTTAAAAGTTGGTAAAAAAATTCAATTTTTCTTGTAATTAGCTCAAAATTTTAATACAGCACAAAAAATACCCTAAAATTTTGAGTTAGATATAAAAAAAGGAAAGTGCATGCATCTAGTGTAGGAATGTACTTTCAATTGCTTTAATTTGTGTAATAAAATAATTAAATACTCCCACAAAACTCCATGTAGGTCTATAATTTGTGTCATGTACCTTATAATAATCAATGTAACCATTCATTACAAATCTACTATGGTATGCTCATGTCTCCACACCAACATAGTAGCAAGTGAAACCAACCTTTAGGCTTTTAATAGCATGAAAAGTAATAAAGAAAAATCTGATTAATGATACCAAGAATTGTCACATCAATTCTGTAGTTCCTAATTGAGATACAAGCTTTTCTGTCATTCAATTCACTTTGTGTGTGTATGAACAAAAAAAGGATTAGATTTACTTTCTCATCAAAATTGATTTTGTGTGGGCTAGTCATACCATAGTAGATGTTCATTAAGCATCATTGCACTTTAGTAGTACAATTACTGTTTACTCTACGTCCTAAAATTTATTTTCAACTGTTTATTAATTGTAGTGAATTTACAAAGGTAGCTCTAGCTAGCACTTGAGTATTTGCTTGAGCTTGAGTCAATTTAGAGATGTCAGAATATCCACCACAGCAACAGGAAAACCCACCAGCTGACTATCCTCCTCCACAGGCACCAGGTTATCCTCCACAAGCACAAGGTTATCCTCCTCAGCCAGGCTATCCTCCACAACAAGGCTATCCTCCACAGCAGCAAGGATACCCACCAGCTGACTGCCCCCCTCAGCAAGGCTATCCCCCACCAGCAGGCTATGTTCCACCACAGCAGGGTTACCAACCTCCTCCTCCTGGCTATGGGTACTATCCACCTCAAGGCCCTCCTCCTGCACAGCAGCAGCAGTCAACTAATGTTAATGTAACAGTTCAACAGCAGCCAGCTGCAGTAAGACCAGATTAATTTACTTATGCATCAAAAATTATCCTTTTTTTATTTTCCTCTGCAGCAGAAAACTGTAGTGGTTAAAAAGAACCGTCCCAATCACATCCTACACTGCATCATTACTTTCTTATGTCCAATTTGGATATTTGTTTGGGTAATTCTTTGCTGCATATATGAATGTTGAAAAGAATAAATTCAACAGTGAATGGTTTGATTTGAACTGTGCACCTTGCTGCACTAAATTTGCTATTTTAATATTGTAGTTATCATTGTTATTGTTAGATCTAGATCTGTTATTTAGAATTTTACAACGAAGTATACCAAATTTTAAAAAATAATTTTAGAACTAGATTCTTCGTGCAATCATGCACGGTGTCATCTAAATTATGTTTGGTCAAGCCCATTGTCTGCTGAGTTAGCATTTTTCAGACAGATCTAAAACTCTGTAGAAGAAAGTTACAGATCTAACCTTGAAATTTACAGAATTTATTTGCAATTGGGTGTTAGACCTGTTTACAATTCACTTAGATCTTAACAAAAGTCAACAAGTGAATGCATGCATGTACGCATAACATGAAAGAAATGTTTTTGAAGGTAAAAAATAATCAAATTGTGGCTCTTGCACACACACAGCATACAGGTGTTAATAATTGTTTTAAAAATTAATGAACAAAACACTCGTAGCAGCAACTAAAAGTAGACCAATCATTGGTAAAACACTACCAGCACTGTTTGGACCAGTAGGAGTGGATGTAGTAGGAGGAATAGCAATCTCTCCATATAATTTAGCTACAAAAAATTATTTTACTGAAAAATGAATGACATACATACCTGCTTCTGGGCAATTCTCAAAGTCATCCTTAAAAACACAAAAGGAATAAAAATGAAAAATATACACTCTGGATCTCTAATAGACTCACATAGCATATCTCAACACAAGATGGACACACAATAGCTCCAGTGTAACGATTACCATTTGTCATTTGATCCACTTCCATCTATAAACAATTAAGTAATTTTTATACTGCACTTTTTAACTTCTCTCTTCACTACAAACTACAAAGGCCTCTTTTTCTCATTATACGTACCACTTGTCCAGGATAACTACAGGTATATGACTGTCCCAGTATTGTTACTGTCACAACACTATTAGAACACGTATACTACACAACAAAATACCAGTAAATAAAGTAAAATATGACTATCACAAAAATAAAAAATGCAGCTTTTGTGTAAGACACTATAATCATCTTAAACTATACCTGATAGCAGCCAGCTGTGTTTTGAAGTGTTAGTGATCCTGTATTAGTAGTCACTTGCCATGTTCCTGAATGTTCAATACAACGAGAACCAGTCCCATATGTCTGAGCTAGTGAATTTGCTTTTAAAAAGAGAGAAGACTAAAAATAATTCAATAATAAGAACCAATTACTTGCAGGTTGGTTGGTTGGATCACTGCAAACATACTGAGATGAACCCTAACAAGATAATGTTGATAACAATTGCTGGATTTATTATAGATATTATTACTTCAATGTATGAACAATAATCAGCAACAAATTGGAAACCGCCAAGATTATCCAGAGGAGCAGATCGATTGAAATTAGCACCAGAATTGAAATACTGAAAAAGGTATGCAACAACAATACTATTGTTTATTTTCCCTACCTGATACTCTGCTGGAATTATTGTATTATTATATATCTGAAGATTACAATATCCTACTGCTGATCTATCAACATTACATGAATATTGAGTAACGTCTGGATGATTCAGATAATCACAAAAAGGAGCAATGGGCTGACTCCTGATAATTAAGAAAGATATACATTATTAACATACATTAATTATAATCAATATACTTACTGTTGCTGTTTAGAACTAATGTACCCTCCACATGAACCGGCTGTATAACCACACCCATCACCACGACCCCAAACTAGAATACTTGCTTTACTACGATCAACTTTGTACCAACTATAATTGAGTTTTTTTATGATGTTAATATACATGTACCAGGTCTAGTTATCGTACCCACTATCTTCCAGCAGTGCAAATGTGAAATTAGAAAACACTGGATTAACTGTAATGTAACCAGTCATTGCTTCATTCTATGTATAATAAATATGATATAACAATAGCATGGTATTAGATCTAACCTCTACCACTCTTTTCTCCCAATGTGTTGCTATAGTAGCTGGTCCTCCTTGATCTTCTAATTGAACTCCTTCTAGTGTACTGCAATTGAAGTGACGTCTACCAACATCCTATTATACGTCATTATTAATCATTATGATCATAACTATTAATCTTACCACTACATTGGGCGTCACCATAAGACTAACTGTCTTATTTATTGGCCCATTCCTTGTCTCCCAGTTAGTATAGTTCACTACTTTCACTGTATTCTCATCAGCAACATAAGCTCTACAGTGATGTAGTGATATACATAACCCATTTGACTATACAGCATTACAATGTATGTTAAGTAATACTGAATAGATTATTGGTTGTTGTTCCTTTATATAATTTCTTACTAGTTACTACATCAACAGTATACATGTATTATAATTCTAATCACTTACCCATTGACAATTGATGGGCGACCAAATGCGTCTCTCTCAGTTCTTGGGCTACCATCTTCAAAACGAAACCATGGAAAAAGATTACTAGAAAAACCCTAATAATTATTTGTGATTTACTATCAAAATAAATAGAGTAAGAGTGCTTACCAGAGCATGCAATATTTCATGTTTAGCAACAGCTTCAATAAAATCAGTATCATTGAATACATTGACAACCGATGGACAGAAATTAGCAACACCAGCTATTGGTCTACATGGATGCATCAATACATTTAATTACAACAGCTATTACTAGACCTATATGCCACTATCAATCAGTTAATATAGAAATACTACTAAAAATACAAATATGACAGAATGTAGTAGTGGAACTAATCTCTACTACATTGGCAGAGGTTAGTTCTGCATGCTGAACCGCATAAAATACTATTGGCAACCATGATTACCTATCATATTGGTCCTCCATTTGACAAGATGTAGCATAAGCAATAGTTCCCTCTCCACAGTTCTCTTCAACTCCAGTCACATAGAGAACAAAGTCTGTGTTACTGACTCCTGGTCCATCAGTCCCTGTTATATTACAGTTGCTAATGTCCAAGCTACCATAACATTGTGCACAACGCTACAAATATACAAAATACATTGACATGATTAGTATATGAGGCTATCATGAGCTATTTCAAAGACAAACATTCAGTCTTTATACTGCATGTAAATATTTATCATAGTTTTTACCAGTAGATGTTCAGGAGGTATAGTAGCAGTGAGACACTTGGTAACATTAGTACATTGATAATAGCATGGCCTTAATGGAGTGCCTGGAGGAACTAATATTTCTAGGTTAGCAGTGCAAGCCCTACAGGGATACACTCGTTCACATAATTTTGTATTTCATACACAAAATAATTACTGGTCAAGACGTATAGGGGATGGTGTCCTTCGTACTGTTAGTACAGACTCATAAAATGACGTTATGTTATTAATAATGGTCTATAATTATAATAAGAAGTATAATGTAAGATGATATATTTGTACACTGAGATCTATACCCTTATGCTTTGCTGTACCAATGGAGTTAAACTATAGGAAGGAAAGAAAGGAGAGGAATAGAGATAAAATAAGTAGACACTCTAGAAAATGAGCAATAGATCATCTACTCTTACCCTCCTGTTTGAAAGTTATCATCATAGGAAACATAAATACGGAATCTCTGATTGAAATTTTCGCCAGTAACAGATCGTTTTGTGATTGGATCACTGTCAGCAAGATGAACTCTTGGTATCTATTGTAGATGAATGCAACTATTGAACTGTACAGATCATCCAGGTTATAGGTCTACTTCATGTTTTGGTAGACTCCCGTGAGAACATTTGTAAGGCTCTCTATTTTTAATAGCTGTGGACAAGAAAACGAGGGAGAGCAGAGCAACTAAGAGGCATAAAAGAGATCTAGACGACATCTTGCTAAATCTTAGGTGCGGGGTTCCGCGGGAACTGCTTCGTCAATGGTCACACCTTCCTTGTAACGCCTACAAAATGACTGCTCTTGCAAAGAGGCTAACATCTAAACTCAGTAAACTGTCCTCAGGGACAAGGGGAATAGCATACAATGTCCCCACAAGTCCACACCAGCTACCTCGTTTTGGAGGAATAGCCACTATGATGCGACTCCCCCTTCAGCAAGGAGACGCTAAAGGATTGGATGCATGTTTTGTTGGTATCCCAATGGATCAAGGTACCTCATGGAGATCAGGAACTAGACATGGACCAAGAATGATAAGAAATGAGTCAAACATGATGAATCAGTTTCACTACTCCACAGGTGCTGCCCCTTTTGAGTCACTGCAAGTTGCTGATATCGGGGATGTTCCTGTTAATCCTTACAATGTTGTGAAAACTATTGATAACATCAAAGAATTCTATGGAAATATTTTAAAAGAGAACTGCATACCGCTTGCCTTGGGTGGTGATCACACTCTTACTCTTGGTACTCTCCGTGCTATGGGTGAGAAATATGGTCCAGTTGCTATGATCCAAGTTGATGCACACTCTGATACACAGGACACAATGTTTGGGGAAAAGATAGCACATGGGACGCCATTTAGACGTGCAGTCGAGGATGGTGTTCTTGATCCTAAAATGTCATTTCAAATTGGCCTAAGAGCTTATGGCTACAGTCCAAGTGATTTTAAATGGTCAAAGGAACAAGTATGTTACAATTTTACTACATCTCTTATGTCTATGAGCTAATTGAAGTGAGAAAACCATTAAAAATGTCTATCCCAGGTTACTCTATTATTTTGCTGTCTTTTGCACTGCAGGGTTTTCATACAACATTTGCTAAAGATTGCTATCACAAATCACTCGTTCCTCTGATGGACTCCATTAGAGATTCAATAGGACCTGAGAGACCAGTGTATTTGACATTTGATATTGATGGCATTGATCCAGCATACTGTCCTGGAACAGGTTAGATAGGCTATAAGTTACTTATGATTTTGTAATAATTATTAAATCAGGTACTCCTGAAATTGGAGGTTTGACTATCATTCAAGCACTAGAAATAGTTCGAGGCTGTTGTGGTTTGAACATTGTTGGGGCAGATCTTGTTGAAGTAAGCTATATAGCCATTGGACACTGGATGATTATTTTTATACATCAGGTTAATCCTTTATTTGATAAATCCGGTACTACTGCAATGACTGGAGCTAATCTTCTTTTCGAAATGTTGTGTATACTGCCTGGTGTCAAGTATTATAAAGACTGGAACTTATAATTGAATTTTTGTGCAAAATTTTTATAGATTTACTTTAAAACTGTAAATTTTAGTGGGCCCACCCTTATTGATCACGTGTAGGTGTGGGTACGTGCATAGAAAAAGGTTTCTGTACCTTTTTCTCCGAAACAGTAAATTTAAGCTAGGAAAGAAACACATGTAACAGGTATAGCATATTGCTTTAGTGAACTGGCTAGTAATGGTATTGATATGTTCTTTTGAAATCCTATAAACCTGTCATTCTCTGGCAAAATTTGGCTCTTCTCTCGTCTTCTCCTTTGACTTTTGCATTGTAATTGGGCGAAGCCCACTAAGATGAGTAGAGTTTGTTTATATGTATGTATGTCTGTCTGTACGCGTACGTATTCCGTATCTCCTTTATATATCCGCACATGCCTAGCAGTGCAATAGATTCTAAATTTCAATATTTCATTAAAAGTGGGAGTGGCCGGAACAAATAAAATGGCGATCAGCACACGGGAATCAGAAGTCATGATTTTCCTACTACAAATCTAGGCTGCAATCTCTTCAGATCCTACCTCTGATGATGTACTTTGAGGTGAATGATATATCCTTCTTTCTGTCATCAGTGAAAGCACCAAACCCTGCTTTTGATACACTGCAGTTTGTTTCTTTCTCCACCTCTGGAACTCGTTCCTGTGGGATCAAGCTACAACACCAATTCTCATGTTCCAACTCCTCAAGGCACTTCTACTTTACAAGACTCCCTAGACTCTGGAATAAGATATCAAGGTAGGTCGATCTTCTTGGTTACTCTGTTCCTACAGCAAAATTCCATCTTCGTCGCCTAATGTGGTCCTACTTTGAAGAAACTTTCAAAGGCTCTGAGTATCTATGTACGTACCACTTCTGTTGCCCCTGTAGCAAGTGTATCACTTCACAAGTCAAGTAACTGTTTTGTTGCATTAGTAACTTTATGCATAGTGTCTATGCTTTATGTGTATGTTATAGTGTAAATTATTGTTTTATTTTTTATTTCTGGTACTCAGTATTAATTACTGATGTACCCTCAGTACTCCAAACTCCTGCTGCCCTCAATTTAATGTTTTTCTTTTCTTCTCTCTCTATGTTAGTACTGTAAAGTTCTTTACTTTATTAATTATTATTATTAATTATTATTAAAGGGTGTGTCCACGTAGCAGTCAAAATGGCAGTGAGTTTGCTTAACCAAGGATCTTTGATGGTCTTTTTAGTCCTTCTAGCTATAGCAGATGATGAAAACAGCAATAGAAAAGGTAGTAAAGATATTATCCTTTTAATAACTCAACATCTAAGTACAGGATACATGAAAAGTAAATGAAAAATCACCAAAATATAGACGAATTTGGGAAGCAATAAGTAAATGTACATACATGAAAATTTGCTGATGAATACAAGTACATACACGACCTGCTTTTTTCAAAATACAAGTACACGAAAATTCCAGTAGATGTGCAACATCTGGTTTGTGTCAAAAATACGTAATGCAAATACCATACGTAATAATGCAATAACCTCTACGTTATAATGCATGACCCCTACGTTCTCAAAACCCATGCGTTCTGAGGACCCCTACGTCCTAATAACCCCTGCGTTCTCAGGACCCCTACGTCCTAATAACCCCTACGTTCTGAGGACACCTACGTCCTAATAACCCCTACGTTCTCATAACATATACATCCTCGTCCATGTATTCTTAGCTCAAAAATCTGAACCCCCAAACGGGGCCCACTTGGGTGGAAATGGGAGGGGACACAATTTAATTGATCGATGGGCGTGGACAATACTGGACATTACTAAAATGGAGACTCAAGCTTGGGATGCTTATTTTACCTCTGTGGAGCAGTTCCTTACAGAATGTCAACACCAGTACGGTATTTGTAACTCTCAGTACACCAGTTACGCTTTGGAGCAGCTTGAATTTCTTGAGAGTACTTAGGTTATAAATAGT